TCAGAAGTCGAAACTTGTGCGAGCTAAGGATTAACGAGGTCTTACCTTTTAACGTGTGATTCCTAACACGGGTTGGACGATAGCAAGTGAAGATCGATCGTTCAGACTAGGGCTTGAACCACCGAACAACACGGCAGTCAATTCGAGTGAGTGAACAAATCACCCACGCCGAACCGCTTGGCTACCGACCGATGGATAATATGTTAGAATGAACAACTAATAAATTCATGCAGTTAAGAAAAACTTTTTCAAGTATGCAAACTCATTATTCGTAGATAAGACCCAAACATTCGTCACCGCTTTTACCACATAGCAATAGATAATAACATCACCGTTGATGTTCGTAATTTTTTTATCCCTGGTCAAATATAAGTACATGTTATTTTTCTAATATAACATGAATATACTTATGTATTAACAGCTTATGTATTATTTTCGTAAATGCACTCCAGTGAACCTTGACACACACTACGTTCCATTGAAATCAACCTGTTCAACCAATTTCCTTATTTAGACATATTGTGAAAACACCATCTGTTCAATTTTTCGTAAATGAAAGCATTACTGATACATCTAGGCACATCTAGGAACTTCAGACGCACTTTTTACTTTCTATATTTGAGGGGGCGCAACCGAAAAAAGTCAAATAATGCACTGAATAGAAAAAGCGGATCATGAATAGCTGACAGCAAACGTTTGTGTTGTCATTACAAGTATCTTAACGTAAACAGGAAATAGTGTAAGTGCTTATATTATTTGTTATAATCAAAATTTTCGCGCACTTTCCAATTTTTAATAAGCAGGATTAGTGATGTTATTAGTGTCACCTGTGATTCATCTCACACCCAAATACATTTTTGTCTGGTTTCTACACTACCTTTAACTTAGATTTATTCACGAACCCGGATTTATCTTGTTGAAGGGCCTCGAAAGCTAGCCAAACGCAGTTTGATATGTTTTCGAGTAACACAGCCATGCTCACATTGCTCACTGCAAACACGTAGTTAACGCAAGTGAATCATCGGTTAACGCGATATCTGCCGACAATCCCACTAACCAGCTGATCGCCACTGGTTGATTGTTATAGTTTCTTGGATGGAATGGTACACACCAGTTTCCTTCCGTAGTCCAATAGAATTAGGCGCAAGACCTTCAATTTGTCAGTTCA